TCCAGACCTATCGCCGATATCGTCAGTGAGTCTCGCCAATCGTAGCACCAAATTACGACTCGTCAAAGACCAAACGTGTGCCGAACAGTTGCGGCATCTCACCTTCTGTCTTGTGCTATTTACAGTTCCTATATTTCCTATCATGCCTTCCCTGTCAATATTTTTACAGTGCTTATTTTAATGTAGTGTAATGTGCTCCTTCGAGCGACATTCATGAAAACCCTTCACTCCACTCTGTCGTTATTACCCTCTTCATCCTTGTGCTGGGAATGTTGACCAGTCTGTCATATTATTACGTAGTCCTTCCCTGGGTCCTATCAGAGTCTCCCTCTTGCCCCGTAGAATCCGTATTCAATCTCCCTGATACATGTATTTCACTCGACCCCTGCCCACCAACTGTGCTACTCAAGGCGTAATTCGTCCACCCCATGCACTAGGTGATGGATTAGAGAATAAAGTCTCAGAGTAAATTCCATCGTCATGCTTTTGCTACATGGACCACGTCTCTTATAAAACCTACTGTCATCCAATTAGCTCCAATCGCCGCCTCGTCTATCCTGCCTCTATCCCCAATACCAAATCTATGACTTGCCATGCCATAGTCGCTTGTGTGCCGACCAACAAATATTGTGGCACTGCTGGCTTTGATTAGGTTCAATGTTGAACCACAACGTTTGTGGGTTGGCACACAAAACAAGGTCAAACAACTTCTATACAAGAAAAGGAAACTTGACCACACAAAAGAGCACACTATTTTGGTCTTTATACTTTCTGTTTGGTTGATTATGAAATGTCATCGGCTAACTAAATATCCTATGAAATACATTAAACTTCCATAGCACAGGCAAAAAGTTAAGATACATAATACATAAATGATAAGCTTAAGGATAGAAAGGGAGTCAAGTTGTCACACATGCGCACACCCATAAACCTTTAAACATAACTGCTCATATGTCCGACATTACATAATGTTTCAAATAAAAGTTTTATGACCAAGTAGAAAAGTTATGCTCTTCCTTTATTACTTTGAGATGACTGCTTATACCTACACATGTAAACAAAAACTAAGGAAGAAATAAGTTTATCCTGTATCACAGGGATATAAATAGTAAAATTCCATTGATTGAGAGATTGACTGTGGGATAAAAAACTTCATCCCAAAGTACGCTTCATACTTGAAGCGTAGAGAACAGTAAACGTGTAGTTAGTGCTAAAATCCTCAATAAGCATTAACAATTAAAATAAGGCAAACGAATCAAATTAAGCGATTGAGTAAGTTTTCGAGACCACTTTTACGAGGTCGAAACTGCAGTGCCCACTGTATGAAAACACATTTTGGGAAATGATTGTTGGAAGATTCAATTACCACTCCTTCACCACCTTAAAGCAAGATAGGGTGAGCCCAACTCATATATCTGAATAAAATTAAGGTTGCTACCGAAATATATGAAAAAATAGATCCAGGTGTGAAAATGAATATTAACTATCAGTAAATGTGATGATGGATTGAATAGCTAGTGTCTAAAAATATAGACTAATTCCCCGTCAACACATCAGGATACATCATTGTAATATAAACACACAAAAATATAAAATAATGATTAATAGGCTCTTTCATGACCTGAGCACCAATTCAGCTCCTTTATGATGAATCTTGTTTATATGAGCATAATATTGATGTCAGATAATATAATCGATTATTCGAGTGCAGGACATAAAAAGAAAACCTAATTATCCTATTTCAAAGAAAAAATTGAGGAAGATTAGAAAAACTTTACTCAAATAACAGATACGAATAAGATAAAGCCAATACTACGAAAAAATGTAAGAACTTACGTACGGAAGCATAAGGATAATAAATACTCAACGACAAGTTCAAGGGCATGGTTTAATTAATATTTTGCTAATTGGAAACAAGCCACTATTTTGAGATACATATAGAAAAAATATGTCCACGCGGATTCGACAAGTCAGAAGAATATCATTATTACTTATAAATAATAAATAACAAAAATAAGGAACCAATTTGATAAAGATAGCGTAATAGGGATGTTATAACAGAGGTAAACCATAACTTCAAGCAAAATGATTCATGTACAAAATTTAAATTGATTCCTTTAAAACCCCTACAAAAAAAACAATGCATGACACGATTTAAGGAATCACCTTTAATTGGAGAGGAGCCCCCTGCTACGTTTAAGTTTGAAGGCATCTGCTGTTGACAAGTTGTCTGAGTCGCACAGCGTGATATCGTTATTCCTCCTTTTACACTGTCATCCGATGATGACTGGTATCTTACGTAGAGAGGAAGGAAGGGGAAACGAGAGTAAAAGCTTGCCACCGTTTCGATGGTTCAGGTTAACATAAAAAATTTTTTTGATAGTGCCAAGATGAAAATGGTAAGTTATGATTACCGTGGATCACATCCTGATGAGCCGGATCCAATAACTTCAGTCATGCTTGCGATCCCAGATTCATAGCCATTCGTCTGTCTACTCATACTTTGCTGTTGTTGTTGTGAAATCTGATATTGCTGATTGGGACTTTGATGATATCCTTGTAACTGACAGGCTGAAGTACTTCCTGTACTCCCCGTACTAGCCAAACTTCCACCACTGTGGTACTCAGAAGCGCCGGTGCAGCCGCTTCCTCCACTGTCGCCACCACTGCCCAGATGGACATGGCCTAAACCACCACTGGCTGGGGAACAACCGATCCCAGGAACAGCAGTCGAATAAACGTCGGGAATAGAACTAGGCTAGAAGACATACACATGGGAAAGGCGTGAATAAAGCTAATGACATGAAGGCAAGTTTAAGAATATATTTAAAGTCTACTTAAGAATTAAAAAGAGATTATAGAGACGGTGCGATAAAAAGGAGTTGCATTTAATAGCTGAAAGGAAAAAATGAAGAAAATCAAACCCAATTCATGATTAATAGACCTAAAAATAAATGAGATTTCTAAAATTTGAGAATACCAGTATGTGACTACACCAATATTACCAAGAGGTGTAAGATTATATTTAACATTCCGAGAATTTAAAGCTTATGAGAGGAGCAGTTGTCAGCGAATTTTCCTCCGACTCCAAAGAATGTGTGCTGAAATTTGAACCATTAAGAATATAATTGATGGGAATATTGGTTAATTATGGTTAGAGGAAGATAATTTACTTTTATTGTATGTCCTAGTCGGTAAATAACTGAAGTAGATGTGGATCTATATATATATATATATATATATATATAATTGTCCTACTTTTTTTCCTACCTATACTTAAAGGATC